ACTCAGCTCCATCCATATAAGACATTTTCTCGCATGGATGGATACTATTTTTTACAAGGGTAAGTACTCCTTCTTTCTGCCTGCCTTGTCTATCAGATCTGAAGCACTGGTAGCCTCTCACTTTAAATATCTGGTCTGTCTCCAAACGGGTCTCTTGGATGCGGCATACACTTACATGCTTTTCATTGAGGATGTTTTCCAGCTCCATCTTTTTGCTGTAGCCAGCCTGCTTACTGCTGACCTCCTCTGCATTCTGGTGCATTATGACAAAAGGCAATTTGGGATCTTTTCTGTCTAACTGGTTTTGGTCAGTAGCTATCCTCCGCCGTCTCCTGACTCCACAAGACGGTCTAGGAGGTCCTCCAGTAGCAGGGGGTGGATTCTGTCGAGGCTCAGAGCCCGGCACTGTACCTGCCTGGTGGAGCTTCACAGGGCGAGCACCAACATTAAATTTGTCTGACGGTTTAATCATATATATAGCGTGGGGTTGCGCAGTACTGTGGTTTTTGATCCGCCTTCTGGCCCAGTATTTCCGACTTCAGGATCTCTTGAGACGGAGAGTATGCTCATCCCTTCGCCTTTACCTCGTTTGTTGTCCCATCCAGTTTCCCGCTGGGGGTTGAGACCCCAACCTTCAACTGGATTGCTGGGAAGAACAGGGTCCACCACGTGAAGGTGAGGTAGGCTTGAGCAAGAGAGGCTAATAGACATTAAGAGTCTTGTATTGCGCATCATTGCTCCATTAGAAACCCATTCTTCGTCTGAAAGGTGTTACGTTACTTCTCTCGAATGTTCTATACTATACGACAACACAGCTTTCGAACGACCCCAGAACATGTATAACTGGCCCTAACCCACAGCCCTCTACCCACAGCCTCAGCCAATGTCACACCAGAGACTCTTTTTGAAGAAAGCAGTACAATGTGACACCTCTCTGACCTAGATCAGACTGAGAAAGTGTGTACATGGGCCGGGAAACGTGAACAGGGCCGCTAGTATCGCTGGTTATTCTAGTCCCAAGTGTCGATGGATTAATGTTTCAAATAAGCCGCTTAAAGAAAAAAGAGTATACACTTGTTATCGTTTTTTGGGTGACGGCCACAAGGGGCCTGTGCTCCCAGGTTCCAGTGACCATGCAAAGATGGGCACGTGATATACTAGTAAGTGACTCTTAAGGTATGAGAGTGCACGAGACGGTAGAGCTGGCGAGAGACCGAGTTTCTTTCATGCAGGCTGGGATGAGAGCGACGTTCTGCAAAGGACATTCTACGTGATGATGCCGAGCCTGTGCAGACACTGATGTAATGGTGGTACAAGGTTTAACTTCTGTTGACTTCGACATAATTAATAATGCCATTAGAACTTCTCTAATCTTTTAAACTTGTATATCAGCGACCGTATGTGGTCTGACATAGCCATGAAGGAGCAGTACTCCTCTAGTAAGCAGGCCTGGATGTTATCTTCAAGTTGCATCACGAAGCATCGATAGAACTTCACAGTATGCATCAGCATTCACACTGTCAACTCTTTTTAAATGAAATTGTTCAAAAGCACTCCTTGACAATCCCAGAACTCTGTCAGCACAACCTTCCGAGCTGATGGCGAAACCTTGAATTTTAAAACACAAAGCGAAGGAGGATGTTTTCACTGCAGTGAAGCACGTTTCGATTTGGGCTGGTAGTGATGCACCAATGGTTCATCCTGCTCAGCACGTCTTCTCCTTCATCTACACATCGACAGAGATGCTGCAAGGACAGGCCTAATCGGTTCATATTGTGTTCTTCTGTCAATTGTCTGGGTACCCACCTTTAGCACACTTTCTTAAATTTCAGTCGATCATGCATTATGTTGTAAGCTTAACCATGTGAGCACTCTATTGCAGCGGCTACAGAGTCAACCGTTACTCGTCTGTCACCTCTAATCTTCTCTTCTACCCACTGCACGGATGCGTCTGTTGCAATCTCAACAGGACCACCAGATTGGACTACAACAATAATTTTAGAGGGTACTTGAGAAAACAATTGTACCTAGCTATGCACCGCTTTACGGGATAAATATTTGTCAGCATAAACAGAATGCATTTTCTTATGAATTATCTTTGCAGGCAACCCCTTTGCCCCCCCCCCAATCCACTCACAACCGCATGTTGTTTTTTAAGAGTACACTCTGTAAGTACAGTCACCATTTTGTTTCTGTGTTGCGAATGCACATGCAACACCTAGCGGCATCAAATGAACGGAGACATAAATTTCGAAAATGCTGTCACCTAGTAACATCTTCAGAAACCAACAGCTACATTTTCCTGCCATCCCATAACTATATGTGACTTACTTGTTGACTTCTCCTCGTACTATGGTCTTCTCTCCAGTTCAACTTCATAGATCATTCTAAGAGTGTATTTAACGATTTATGGCTCTGAGAGAAATGGGGACTGCGTGGGGTTTCCTGTCGTCTTTCTAAGCTCATTGCCTTTTCATTTCTATGGACCCATAGTAGGCTGGAATTCCTTGCTGGGTTAGTTCTCTACTTGTGGACACAATTCTTGTGTGTGTGTGTGTGTGTGTGTGTGTGTGTGTGTGTGTGTGTGTGTGTGTGTGTGTTTTCATATATGGTGATGTCCTGTTTGGAACGTGAGATGACTTGGAGGGCTAATTCTGAATATGTGAATATGACAGCGTTCTATTTATTTGACTATTTCAAGTCTGCTCAGTTAAAAGAGAGTTGCTGTCTCCGATTTGAAGTTGATGCGAGCTTGATATGCGGACAGTGAGTGTATCTTTGTTTTGCAGTTATGACGAGCATTGGTTCTGTAGGCTGTAGGGGACTTGCTCTTGAACAACATTTAATAGTGTCAATTTTGAAAATAACGAAGAACCTTAGATCTTTTACACAGTCCCCACAGTGGGCCTGTCAAACAGGACCACAAACACACCAGCACATTCTGCAGAACTGCCCACTCTACCTGCAACTTCGAAAAGACACCTGACCTGAAGAGCGAAGTGTGCAGAGCAAGCTGTGGGGAACCATGCAGAACCCTGCAGCTGACATGTTCATAGAGGCAACCCACCTGATGGTCTGATCTGAGCATACGAAACCGAACACGAAGTAGAAGATGAAGATCTTTTACGCTGCTCTGAGAGACTTCTTTTCTGTTTTATTGATTGAGCATCCGAACATTCAGAAAAGCTTAAGAAATTGTATATTTAAAGTATGTCAGACTGTTGGTATAGAAAGTATTTTATTCAAAATTCATGTTGTAGGACACCGCTGCTTGTAGAAGCTTCAGCTTACGCCATCCTTCTATTCAGTATCGAATAATGGAAATATATAAAAACAAAACTAAAACAAATAATGTATTCATTAATATTAACCAGAAGGACGAATCTGACTGCTTAATTGCATAATGTCTTTTTTTACTATAAAAATTATTCACATTCCAGTCCCAATGTGGGACGCAATTTTTCGTTACTTTAAAACCCCACTCTGGCTGTAGTCGGGGGCCCTAATATAATCCACGACCGGGCCAGAACAGGTCGTGTACAACCGAACGGTTGAAACTGAGTTTCTGCGTCTTGTGCCAGGGTGACCCTCATCCGAATTGGTAACACTTTGTGTCAACGAGTGTTGGTCACCGGTTGTGCAGTCGTGGCGGAGCTCAACGATACACACACGTGAAAATTCATCACTGACTGAGGTTTTTATCTTTTACACTGCATTCAGAGAGGCTTGAAGTGTTTATAACAATCCTCTCTCTCTCTCTCTCTCTCTCTCTCTCTCTCTCTCTCTCTCTCTCTCTCTCTCTCTCTCTCTCTCTCTCTCTCAAACAAACGTTAGTCTCCCCATAGAAAGTAGGTCAAGTTCCATTGATAACCTTCTTGGAATGGTCTAACCTGCTGGACGTCATTGGTGTGCTTCTCTATTGTTTGCGTTCTCCAATTTCTTGCATTTACTTTTTTATTCCGAGAAAAAGAATACCTGTGACATAGGTTTCATCACTCTCTAAAAGGGTTTTGTGTCAAACAATGTTTTTGAAATGTTAAAGGTGCTGGAATGCCGAAATATAGAAGATGTGAAATCAGATGCATTGGGGAACACCTCCCGTCACCTTGTGGTGACATTGGTGGCTTAAGGTCGAACAATCAGAAATGAGCTAGGCTGAAGGTCGACCAATCAGAAGTGAGCTGGTGTGTAAATGGGAGGTCCGTGGGAAGACCAGGGTAACTATTACCTATCTCTCTCTCTCTCTCTCTCTCTCTCTCTCTCTCTCTCTCTCTCTCTCTCTCTCTCTTATTTTTATTCAATGTCTCCTGACTTCACCTGAGGCTGTTACTGCCCCACCCCACCCTCTCTCTCTCTCTCTCTCTCTCTCTCTCTCTCTCTCTCTCTATATATATATATATATATATATATATATATATATATATATATATATATATATATCTTCTCTACCCCCTGCCTTATTTTCATTCAGGGCCTCTCAACTGCACCTGAGGCTACTACCGCCCCCTAGAACGTCCTAGCACCCTGCAAAATTTTATGGAGGCCGCTACCTTCCCCCTCCCTATTCAGACAGCGATAGCGCATCCTGGATAGGTTTAAGTTAGTCTCCCCAAACAAAGTAGGTCACGTTTCATTCACACATTTGTTCGACTGGTCTACTTTCGTGGAGGTTAAGGGTGTGCCGCTCTGTTGTTTTTATTTGTGGGTTCTCTTGCATTTACGTATTTATTCCAAGAAAGAGAATACCTGTGACAAAGGTTGCAGTACTGTCTATGGTGGTTGTGTTAGACCCACTTTGTCCATATTTTAGGAGTGTTATAAAGCGCTGGCGTGCTGAAATATACACCACGCGATATCAAAGTCATTGCGGAACACACCCGTAACCTTATGCCAAGGTGACAGGTTCAGAAACTGCCAATTAGAAGTGAACTAGTGCGTATATGGGCGGTCCGTGGGGAGACTGACGTTAGTTTTACCCGCCCCCTTTAGGAAGCATTGCCCTAGACTGTAGTGTTAATTTCATTATCCCTGTCATCTATTCCATCTGTAACTTTTCTGGAGACCTCCGTGGATTGACTACTTTTGCACGGCAAACGTCCACTGCAGATCATTGCGTTGATTCTTGTGTTCAGCAGAGCGTAAATTAATGGATTGGTAGCCACGTGTGACCAAGACACATAGATGACAGCCGAATACAGTGACTCGGAGGTTTTCACTTGACATGGGTCTACAATAGATGTGATCAAAAACGGAAGATAAGTGACCGTGTAGTTGATCAGAATGGCTGTAATGATTCTTATTAGCTGGATATTCCGTGTCTGACCTTTACCCCTGGCACTGTCCATTTGCAAGTCTGGGTTGATCTTTCTTCTAGATGTGAACTGGACCAGAAAAATGGCGGCATAGCAGTAGAAAGTAATTAGCGTCATCGTCGAGGTGAGTGTTATGGCGCCTATGGTTAAGAACCCAGCGCCTGTTCCTACACTGAGAAGCGAACAGTATCCTTTTTTGGGATCGTAGCCAAACTTATCCCAGATCTGAGTGAGCGGTAACAGATAAATGGCCATAGTTACCAGCCAAGGAAGACCAAGTAATGAGCAAAGACGCAGATGTTTATGGTGGTGTAGGCATGTCTTGTTGGACACACGGTGAACGATGACCAGATATTGTCCGATGGTGATGTTCATGAGAATAATACATTCGGCTGTGAGTGCCACGTACATTAGATAGGCAAACGCCGGGCAGAAGATGTCGTTCTGGGGCCAGTGGTTGAAGAAGCTGGTGAAGGTGATGATAGGTAAGATCAGTACCGTACTCACCATGTTGCTACACACAGGTCTACGATCAACATCATGGTGGGCGCTCCGCGCAGCATCTGCGCTCTGCAGATCAGCGCGATGGACAGGACATTCCCGAATGTGCCAACCAGGGATAAAATGAGAGAACAGGTTGCATGAATCACTCGTTGATCGTCTGCTAGATGTGTTTGGTTACCAGACACATAATGTTGACTGAGAACTATCGTTAACGTGATTTTTTTTTTTTTTAAACTGTTATTAATCAAATTTGGAGTCACAAACTGAAAAAAGAGAAGGCCAATCACAGATTTGAACGAAGGTGGGTAGTATCTGCAGCAAAGAACCTCTAGGGCTTGTAATGCTGAAGAAGAAGGGAAAAGATAATATTAGTAGCTTTGAAACTCCACTGTGTCCAGGGTTTCCTATGTTACTTGCTGTACGTATGTGGTTTTATTTTGTACTCTAGTGTGTACAAATCAATAGTATATTGTAGTTCAATCCTTTGCCATTTGTGGTATTTCAGTTTACGAAAGTTTGCAGCTAGGATAAATGTAAAATATGATGGTCCGTACTTCGCTTGATTCGCAATTATATCTGAGCAACATGACGTTACTGAGTAGCCTTCGGACATCGCTGTCTTTTGCCAGTACTGACGTTCCATGTTTCCCTTTTGTTGAATTTTAAGGTTAAAATTAGGCTTTGTTAACATCTACTATGACTTTCAGTTATTACCTTGTCTTTTGTTGAATGCGCTACATCGTTATTGTTTTGACAGCTTCAGTTCATTGCATGTCTTATTCAGGGCGAGATAAACGAACCGCCGCATTCTGTTGCTTTTTTGCAGCTTCAAATCGACTGGCAGCTGAATTCAAACTCATGGAGTACTTTCCCCTTCATACATGGAGTAGCTACTTGTCCCCATTTGTTATGGCATGTTGTGTAGTAGCGTTCATACATGGAGTACTTTCCCCTTTGTTATTGTTGTGTAGTTGATTCACGTCGAGAAAGGCCCCGGCCGAAACGTCGATTTGTCTGTTTTGTGTACGATGTTCTCCCTACTCCTTTCGTTAAGCTTTTTAGTCCACGGTTCATGTGATTAATTTCTTTTTACAGAGAGCTTGTGTCCAATGTATCTTTCCTAGTGTGGCTTTTCACTGGAAGGTCTCACCGTGGACATGCAAGCCAAAAGTCGGGCACTCAGTACCAGACACAAAAAAAAAACTTCTTACATCCCATGTTACCCATAAAATGTGTAGAAATCTGGTCAGGTGATGATTCCCCGCCATTACTGCATCCTGTTTAATGATTATTTTGATTTTCAAAGTGTATCGCAGATCAAATATCCCGCCTTTCATGTGTCACGTAGACAACCTAATGTCTTTTATTGACGTTTTCTACCCTTTATTGTTTCCATTAAAGTTGATTGTAGTTGAGCTAGTCAAATTATTCCATTATCTGCTTACTTCGTTGTTTTCGCAGGCACTTTTGAACACATACTTTTGTTGTCCTTTATCCGGTTTCTTTCAAGACAAATACGCTTGCAGATTTCAATTTTGTCTTCTCTGATTTTCTCAGATGACATTTTTTCTCTTCTCATCTGTCATCTCAAATACATTTAAAAAAACCATCCCAATATGGAAGGCAATTGTTCGTTATTTGAAAGCCCCACTCCGGCTGTTGTCAGGGTCCCTAAAATAACCTAGCGGTTGAATGGGATTTCTGGCACTTGCTTCTGTGTGATTCTTATCCAAATGGTGGCACTTTGTGTCACCGGGTGTTTATCTCTGGTAGTGCGGTCCTGGTGAGGTTGAACTTCATTCAATCAAATACACATGCTAGCTTGGTTGCTACCAGTTAGGACTTTCTGGCCCTCGACCTTTTTTTTCCAAACGGTTAGTTTTTGTATTTATATTGTTTTTAGAGATCTTTGTTTTTCTGGTAGTTCTGACTTTTCACGCATTCAAATTAAGCTAAAATAGTTTTTTCTGGTGTTTACATTTCCTTACGTAATATCTGTGACTATTATTTAATTTGTAGCATTCCTATGTTTTTCTGAACTTGCGCTGGATTTTGTCTTGCTTCTTTTATTCGGTGATGCTCCAAGTTTTCACTGAAGTTTTAACTCTTCCCACATTTACTTAGGTTTAACCAATTATTAAAGTTACTTCGACTGGTCTAAGTTCCTTTCGGTATCTTAGCTGGACTGACGATTAGAGATCTGCCATATTTCTGTTTTTGTGAACTCGGGCTGTTTATTTATTCAGATCTGAAATTAAAAACAGAAAATGTTACAAAGTGAATTTCAAGAGAGGCTGCATGAAATGTATTTATATTCGGTTTTTCAGTGAAAGCAAATGTGTGTATACGACTTGATTTGTACAATTTCTCTTATTTTGAAGCCCCACCCTGGCTCTTGCCAGGGGCCGATAAAAATTGTCTAATGGCTGAACGCGGTTTCTGGGGCCTCTCCACGGGTGATCCTCATTCACATGGTGGCCCTTTGTGTCATCGGGTGTTTATCGCTTGTATGATGTCCTGGTGGGGTAAAATACTACTACTACTACTACTACTACTACTACTACTACTACTACTACTACTACTACTACTACTACTACTACTACTACTACTACTACTACTGCTACTACTACTACTACTACTACTACTACTGCTACTACTACTACTACTACTACTACTACTACTACTACTACTGCTGCTACTACTACTACTACTACTACTACTAACACTATACTACTTACTACTACTACTACTACTACTACTACTACTACTGAACTACTACTACTGCCTGCTACTTACGACTACTACTACTACTACTACTACTACTACTAACTAACTACTTATACTACTACTACTACTACTGACTACTACTACTACTACTACTACTACTACTACTACTACTACATACTACTACTACTACTACTACTATACTACTACTACTACTACTACTACTACTACTGACTAAACTACTACTACTACTACTACTACTACTACTACTGATTATACTAAACTACTACTATACTACTACTACTACTACTATACACTTCTACTACTACTGCTGCTGACTACTACTACTACTACTACTACTACTACTACTACTAGTGCTACTACTACTACTGATACTACTACTACTACTACTACTACTACTACTACTACTACTACTACTACTACTACTACTACTGCTACTACTACTACTACTACTACTACTACTACTACTACTACTACTACTACTGGCACTAGCAAATAATTACAGGGAGACAAATCTGGGGAATAGGGTGGAAGTCTGAGAGCACACACTTGTTTTTGGGCCAAACATTCTTGGTTTGATGATGTCTCTAAGGTACTCAAACCGCTGATGTTTTTGGTCATCAGACAACGAATGTGGTACAAACCTGCAAGCAATTTTTTTCTTGCCAAAATCTTGCATTAAAATGTTATGAATTGTGTCTCTATTAACACCAGATTCATTTGCCATCATCCTCACAGTAAAACAATAATCTTTTTGTATCGTTTCTCTGACTTTTGCAATGAGTTCTTCATTTCGAACAGAAATTTGGCGTCCAGGTCTAGGTGCATAAGTAATCTTTTCCACACCACTTTTGAAACGTGAATACCATCTGCAAATTTGAGCACGATATAAACAGTTATCCCCATAAACTATTGCATCAATTCAACTGTTTCAATGGCGCTTTTTTCTAATTTTTAAAAAGAATGTAATGTTAGCTTTTGCTTGGAGCCGATTATGTAACAATACGCCTCTGACTAGGTCAACAAAATGGCGGCCTTTTTGTTGTCTGCTTATCGAGGGGGGAAGAAAAGTCGCCAGATCACAGATGAATGTTGCCTCTACATTCCATGCATTTCTTCATAGATGGCATTGTTATCATGGCTATAATAAAATCAGTCTCAGTTACTAAATTGTCGAACCTTGTATGTCTTACGCCAGCGTAAAAAATTGGGCAGAACGGGATAGAGTTGGAGAAGGGCGTTGATTTAGTCCTATCTGCATGACGCATACAATGTAAATTAGCAAGAAAATAAGAGGTCAGAAGTCAAACGTGCTACACATTTCAAGGTTCAGGTGATGTTTTGATGTTTTCATTAGATCAGGATGAAATTGGTTCTCATGCGAGAACTAGATTTGTACGTGACAAGGCGTGATTAATTCCTGAAAACAGGTAGATTGTATCCGGGAGGGAGTGTGTGTTATCTATATTAATAAAAATGTTAATTTTCCGAGTTTGTTAGCTCTAAACACGGAAACTACTTAACCGATTGCTTTCAAATTTTCACACTACGTTGCCTCTTACTCAAAGCGTGATTTTTTTTTTGTCATAACATCGCATTAACCACGAACGACGTAGCTCCAGCAACGGTCAAATCATTATTTATTTCGTTGACCGCCCGGATTTGTTTTTAATCGATCGGCCACCTTTGACTGTGTAACACCGAACGTCACATTATTATTATATACTTTCATTTCTACTAACTGCTTGTGTATTTACTAGCATAGTTAGTTGTAATCATTTCGCTTTTTGCTCGGGTGATAGGGGTTTCGATTCCCCGCTGGGTGATATAATTTTTTTTTTTTGGGGGGGGGGGGGGTCATACCTGGGTGGCTGCCACGTTTTGTTGTGGTTTATAGCTAGGCCGCAATATCTACGCTTTTTCTCCGTTCCATTTTGGGGTTTACAGCTAGCCGTGATGCGGCGACGTGATGCTCAAAGTTCATGTCACGGGCAATATTCGTTCGCCCTTGAGAGGGCGGTTGGCACGTTGTGTTGTGGTTTACAGCTAGGCTATCTGACCTTCAGTCTTCGGTAGTAGAGGTGTAAGTGTTCCACCCTTCACGCGGATGACCGATGTTCGATTCCACGCTGGGTGCTAATGTTTCTTTTCCCCCTAAAGGGGCGATTGGCACGTTATGTTGTAGTTTACAGCTAAGTTGTGACATCTGCGCCAGTCCAAATTAGCCCCCCCCCCCCACCCCCCCCCTGACGCTTCACTCGATCAATAACTATTCGTTAATAACAGAAACTGTTAACTAAGAAGGCTTTCGGAC